CATTCCTGACTACAGAGCAGCCTCCTTGGCAACACAGCAGTCTTTTCTGCAGGAATGTCACCTCTGGTCCCAGTTTACTGACAGTGGCTTCATCCCGCACAGAAACTAGATAGATTTCCTTGATGTAAAGTGGCCAGTGCTTTAGCCACCTGCCCCTGACCTAAGAATAGACCTGTGAGAAATGAGCCTTGTCTCCAGGCTGCCCGTAGCTACTGGGAACATGATCTGTGAAGTTACATCAGCCAGAAGTTTCTCTCGGTAAAGGGGTAGTGGACTGACGGCCCACACTGCCTGAATGTTGTGCCCCCGGCCTGGTAGTAAGTCTGTTGTGTGTATTCACTCACTCACACGATCACCGGCGTCTCCTCTTACCTTTCAGGAGACAGCAAACCCACACCTTCTTCCCAGTTTGACCCAAACAAGCAGCCACAGTCTGGCAAGGTAAGTAGTAGACTGAGAGCTCCAGCATGCTCCAGGTGCGTGTTTGTCGACCTCTTCCACTGCTTGGAAGACAGGTCCATCTAGGAATCCTTTTTGCATATCTTTTCCCTCACCTCATTTCTTCCCAAGTACAGACAATACCCGTCAACTATTCTAGCAAGAAAACAATGTTTTAAAGAGTCTGTAGAAGTGGGTGTGGTTTTGAGGGGCATCCATGGGAATTACAGCCACAGGCCGGAACCCTCCCTGCGGCGGCTGGCACAGGCCTGCCTTTGCCCCCCGCCCCACCGTGGGCATTGCTTCCAGTCAGAGCAGAGGGCGGCTGGACGTCTGGCATGGGGAGGGGCCGAGGCCCGCGTGGAGCCCTCCCGTTTCTTCAGTAGCTCATCTGTATGGCCTTGCCTTCAGAAACACCCAGAAATGTCCAGTTGCAAGAAAACCAAAGTCACACCAGTGGCGCTAGAGTCCTTGATGGGCCATCTGAGCTCAGGGGTGTTTTCCTGTGCGTCTTGCAGTCATGGTTGTCACTCAGCTTCAATGGCTTCTTTTCAGAAATACACTGCAGCCAAAAAAATTAAACAGTCGATGGGAAACAAAAGCATGTCCTTTCCAACTGGAAAGTCAGACAGGTACGTGCCAGACGGCCGGCGTGGCCTGGGAAACCCGGTGAGCAGCTCCGAGGCCTTAGGTGGAAAGACTTTCAGAGGGCCTCTCCCAATCCGATCCCGCCCTTTGTCATTTGGAAAACTAGCTGGGACAGGAGAGGTGATCGCTGGATGCCAGTCACAGCCACGGCCTCCGAGGGCTCCAGTCACCCTCAGCGCTCTCCCGGTACCATACGGTTTCCCAGGGGCACCTCAGAGCAAATAGGTCTGAAGTTTGCCTAGATCAGCTTGTTTCTGAGGAATGAGGAAAACAGTCCGTAAGCAGATGTGGGTTGTCATTGTTCAGGAATATTTTAGTTAGAGGCGTGAAACCCTGATCCTTGAGGCAGACCCTGAGGTCAGAGGACTCACCCCCAGGCTCTGGCCGTAAAGGAGGGACCTGCCTGTAGATCTCGGTCAGCTCAGCCGTTCCGGCCCCGCTCTTGTCCGCTGGAGTTTCCGGGCACATTGCTGCCCTGCTCAGTCCTCGCAACCCCCAGACCGTCCATTTTCCCTCTGTTCTGCATGATTAAGGTTCGCAATGTTGTATAAACTGGCTGAGAGCCGACGTTCAGCCAAACTGGAAGAATTAACTCTCTTGTTTTCGTGCTGTCTCTACAGAGGTTTCAGGCACAATTGGCCAAAGAGATAGTGTTGGAAGAGACCCTTGGGATCCTCCCATGGACTGGAAGCACCAAATGGTGGTGCTGGTTTTGTACAGACTCATTTTTAAACCATTAAAAATAATTCTTACTGGAAGAAAGCTGGTTCCTGACTTTTCTTTTGCGGCCACCACGGCTCTGGCAGGAGAGAGCAGATCTCATCTTGTCCAGATCACCATCGTCAAGTGGCCTGGGGTAAGTGTGCCCTTGGGGTATGGTTTCTGGAGAAATCCAGAACCACCTCCACGGGGGAATGCAGGAGGCTGTCCTGTGACTCAGGAAAGGGAGGCCTGGAGCACAGCGCTCACCCGACTGTCCATCCCGAGAGTTCTCACTTGTTCACACACCTTCAGATCACATGAATGAAGCCAAATGGTGGAAAGTACATTCGGGAGGGACTGGTGGGTGCCTAGAACCAGCGGGGCTTCACAAGGGCCTGGTCTCTTCTCTGCTTCTTTCTCTCTTTTCTTTTTACACTTTTTTTCCCAATTATAAAAGTAATAACAGGGCTTCCCTGGTGGCGCAGTGGTTGAGAGTCCGCCTGCCGATGCAGGGGACACGGGTTCGTGCC